CCAGCTCTATTGGTGTAGTGGTAGTGCACTACTCAAGCAAAGCTGGATCCCATATGGCGACTACTGTTCAAAATCCCAGCCCAGTTCACGTAAAACATGCTGGATGTGAGCACAAATATACAAGATCTCATGGGGAAGGGGACTAGAAGAAGGGTATAGAGGCCTGACCAGACGCTGTTAGGATGAGAGGGTGTGTGTGTGTGTCTGTCTGTCTTACGTTCTATCCTGAATTTAAAAAATTAAAATATTTGCCACAACAAAAAAAAGTGGTTATGTTATTTCACTATAAAACACCTTATCCATGGATTTATGTCCTGAACCTTTTTATCACCTGGTTAGATATGTCAGCAGGAGTTAACCTGGGGTTCTTCCTAAATTACATTAGGATAAGAAAGGTTTTTTTTTCACCTGTTATTCAGCAAGAGCACAAAATTATCATTGTAATAATTTAAAATGTTTTCAAATAATTTATTTATTTATTTATTTATTTATTAGTACTACTTTTTAATTTGACCAGAGAGAAACAGAGAGAGAAAGAGAGGAAAAGTGAAAAAGCAAGGTGCCAAGTCTGGGTTTTGAACCACATTTGGCCATGTGGGAGTTTAGCACCCCACCTGCCAGCCCCAATTTTTAGATGTTTTAATGTTGAAAATGAAGCAGTGATTCCTCTAAAGCCATTCTTTCTCATTAAAAAAAATTATAAGTTAAAGATTTAGGGGAAAAAATGACAACTATAAAATCCAGTGATTTCCATTTGACTCTTTGCTAAATTGTCTTATTTGCAAAATTGTGACTGGGCTCAAAGTATGTCACTAAACATCAAATATTACATAACTGTAAGATTTGGCTTTTGCCCTTGAGACCTATAAGACCTGTTACAGTTTGGATAATGGTTTGTCCCCCAGAAGTTCATGTTTTAGAATTGGGCCTTAGTGGAAGATGACTGGATATCCCCCAAAGTTCATGTGTTGGGATTTGGTTGTATTGTAATTATGTTAAATGTGAGTTTAATCTTTTCATGGTGTCCCAGGATGGGGCCTTGGAGTGTGATAAAGTCATCAAGGCAGGGCTCCTGTGATTGAGTTCTGGTGAGTAAGAGGAAATGAAGCAGGCAGAGCCCAGATGGGTACAGACCTCAACAGGGAGGAACTTAGGGACAGCTGCTCTGCTGAAGATCCTGTACTCCACCATGTTGTGCCTCAGCAGATGGTGGCCCCTGTACCCTGAACTGAGTAACATGTGTTCCTTTATAAATCACCCACACTCAGGTGTTTCTCTTAGCAACACAGTAAGGGACTGACATGTGACCTAAGATCATACTAATGTAAGCATAGAGGACTTACAATATGCCAAATGAATTCATAGACCATGTTGTGTGTTTGCCTAAAAAAAAGTTAAATTTTTTTTAAAATTCAGTATCACCTGACAGAAATAACTAACAGGAAATCCTGTGATGCTTACCAAGAGATAAGTGATTCACCTTACCATAGGGGTCCACATCTTAACCCTCTATCATTAGTCTTATTAACCAAAGACCACATTTGTGCCTAACCAACAGTTAGAAGCACATCTCATTCAGCAAACAGGAAATCAAGTGACAACTTAAATGAAAACTGTTTCAACATAATGAACTCTTGTTGAAAGAGCCTCCCATTACTTATATACTATAGTGAAATGAGGTTCGACTCTTCATGTCAGAGTGACATATTATCCAAAGTGTCTAAATTAGAGGCCAAGTGGTGACACACTGATTGTAATGCATCAGGACCCACATGGGAAAGGTTCTGGGTTTGCATCCGGGGAACCTCTCAGTACACCACATTATTATGTGCCCAGGATCTGGGCCTGGAGGGGATTGTAATGTGAAGGCCCTGGTGGGGGAGGCCTCCTCCCTGCCTCTGTGTCTCATAAACTTTAAAAAGCAAACACCAGGCCAGCAGGTAGCATGAAGGTTAAGGGCTGGATCCCACATGGCCAACTGCATGGTACATGTCCTAGACTCCCAGCATGAAAAATCATTCTGGGTGTGAGTGCATGCATGCCCGAAATCCTGAGAGTAGAATGGAGGGGGAGAATTGCATCATGGGTATCTCCTGAGGGGAGATTTCTCACTTTCTGTCTCTGTCTTCATACACGTGCCCTATAAAAAAACTAAAACAGACAAAAAAGGCAAACACAAACATAAAACATTGTGACAAAATGAAATAATGAATATAATTTAAATGCAATAAAGTCAACCACCCTATTATGAGGATTTGACAAACTTTAGAGATGGCTGGCCAAAGCAAGGGAGTTTATTTAGGCAAGATACTATTATTCTTTTCTCCAAAATCCTTGCAAATTTAATTATTCCAGGGTACACTGGGTAATAACTGATTGGTTTAGCATCCTACTTGAGGAGAAATTGCCAGTCTGACCTCCAGAATGAACAAATAACTAGGTTCTTAACAGCTTAGCTAATGTAATAGGATTTACAGTCAATTGTAGTGAAGGCTTAATTCTATATCGGACAAAACATATTTTTGATGCAGAAATTGAGGACGCAGAAGGCTGGATAAAATGAGTGAGGCTGGGGTTATTCACATGCCATGCAGCTAGTATTTCTCTTGGGCTTGGCTTTTAGCACAGTGATTTCATGTCTTAACTCAATAAGCATCTACTGAAATGAATTAAACGTCACCTTCATTATGTTCAATATGATCTTACCTTTAGTGTATTCTAGCTATCACAATATTTCCTCTTTTTAAAAATAATTCATTTTATTTGTTATTATTTCAATTTGCTATAGGGCACATGTGTGTGAGAGAGAGAGAGAGAGGAGAGAGAGAGATGCCAGGTTTCTAACTATAGTCAGCCATGGGGGCGTCCAGCACCTTAACCACCATACCACCTGCCAGCCCTTCTTACTTTTTTGATGCCATGGAAGACTTTTACGATAAACCAAGAACAGAAACTGGTGGGTTGGAGACAGGGGAGAGAGAGATGGCGACAGGGGAGGAGGTTGAGAGGGGAGGGGTGAAGGGTTGGAAGGTGATGGCAGGGTCAGGGGAAGTAAATAGATTTCATACAATCTACTTTTTTTTTAAGAGAGAGATTTTTGCTAGAGGGTGTGTGCACTCAATGGAGAGACAGACAGAAAGAGAGAAATCACCCCCCAGAGGGGACAGCGACACCACAATCCCTTTTCCTCCATTTTCCTCTCAAGATCTTGAGCACATACACCTGGCATGAGTTTTTTGTTTTCTTTTGTTTTTTTAAGAGAGATTTTTTTTCTATAGGGCGCGTGTGCTTGATGGAGAGACAGAGAGAGAGATAGAAAGCAAGACATCAACTCCAGGGGGGATGGCCACGCCACAATCCCTTTTCTTCCATTCTTCTCTTGGGGTCTTGGGCACGCACACACATGTGCCCAATTTGAGTCTGAAGCTGCTGTGTCTGGAACTTGAACCATGGTCAACTATGTAGGAGTCCAGCAATGTAACCATTACACCATCTGCTAGTCCTGCGTGTGGCATGAGTTTTAAGCCATCAGGTCTGAGACTCCATAGGCGTCCATAACCATTACATAACCATTACACTATCTGCTGGTCCCTACACTATCTACTTTAAGATCTCATATAGACTGGATATAGTGCCAATCATCGCTTATTCTTATTTATAAATTGAATTTTTTAAAATAGAAAGTAATGATCAACTGGTTTAAATACCTTATTTTACAAATCCCCTATTTTACAAAAAAAGCTATGACTAGCTCCAGACATCTTAATTCAACTTTACATACTTATTGCATAGCCTCTTTAGTGCAAGTTATTACGTGTGCATTTAACTTGATTTAATCCAAGACATCCATTTTCCCTGAACTCTTAATAGGTCTGCCAGTTTCCTCAAGGGAATCTAACCTCACTAGATTTTAATCTCTTTGAATTGTGGCCTCAGCTAGAAACATTTTCACTGAAGTTTTAATGACCAGACTTAAGCAAATTTAACAGATACACCAGGGGGTGTTCTAATTACACATACCATTAAAGGACATTATGTGAGTGAGGATTAAAAAATTACTATTTAAAAAAAAACACATAGCCCATCTGCAGTATAATTTACCAGCAGGAAAGATTTCTATGTCCTGGAAAAGTTTCATATATAAAGGATGCTGGAAAAATCAAACAGTCTCAGTAGTTCACACACTCCTAAGGACACTTGGGATTCTTTTGTCTCTGACTCCAAACAGGTAAAATGCCTTGTATTGGTAGTGTGTTTTCTGTGGTTGTTATTTTGCATGCTGTTGTAGGCCTCCAGGGCATTTTAGGCCCCAAGGGCCAGATCTAGGTGTTATGGTTTCTAGAAAAGACTTATTCTTCACTGTCCTTGTCACCACCAGCTGCAGAGCTCTAGCCTTGGGGGAATCCAAAAGCTCATTTGAGTGGAATTTGATTTTGTCTTCCTCCCCAAATAAAAATTATTTTGGAGGCATATTTCATTTCTAATTAGAGGTCTCCTTGGTTGGCTAGGGAGGCATTTGGTCTGGGACTCGCCACTTGGAATCATGATGAGTCTCACAGATGGTTTGGCGAGCCGTAAATGCTTGGAAGACATGGACAGAGAGTCAGCAAAATGTCACTAGTACCATCACGTAGCCACTGAATGTCAGGCGACTTTAGATTAGCCAGAGATTCCCAATAGGGGCTACTTTTCACAGCAGATGGCACAGATCTCTTCATTTCAGGAATGACAGCATCGCAAACAATCCACAGTGGGGGAAATGTGAAGGCAAAAAGATGAATTTGCTAAGGGGGTTTGGATAACCAAATAATCAAAATGAAAATAGACAACTGTAGTAGTAAAGAGTCCTGAATATGAGAGCTTGTCCCTAACGACTAGGGGACTCGTGGCAAAAAACAGGTGACTCTGTGTTTCAGTGTGTGTGAAAATGGTATGACTTCAACTTCCATCGTCTATAGGGTGAATGATGCAGATCCCTGCCCTTTCACTTAGAGGTCTCTATTTTTTACTCCACCCAATCTAGGCTTCCTTTGACTGTGCATTGATATTCCTTAGGATGGAGCTGGTTCCAAAATTTCTAGCTGGACTTATCTTGCTGACTTTATGTGTCGGGGGCTGTTACGCCCAACACTGGTCCTATGGATTGCGCCCTGGAGGAAAGAGAAATGCGGAAAATTTGATTGATTCTTTCCAAGAGGTGAGTTTCTCTCAGCTTCAGAATGAGACATAGCTTATTTGATTCAATTGAACTATATCAAACATTGAGAATTAATCCTAGTGGTACTACTCTATGCACTAAATACTCCAGAGCCAGTAAATGGCATAGTGGTTATGTCACTGGACTCTCACTTGGGCATCAGTGGTTCGAGTCCTAGATCTGGCAGCTTGAAAAAAATCACACTGGGCACATATGCATGCATTCCCAAGATCCCCAAAGGAGAATGGAGAAGGGACTGTGGTGTAGCCATCCCCCTTGGAGGATGATCTATTTTTCCCTCTGTCTCTGTTTCTCTGTCTCTTTCTCTCTCTGGTGAACGCATGTGCCATTTGTCAAAAAAAAAACCCTCTTAAAGTAGAAGTCTCATTCCTAATTTCAGTTCAGATGGGGACTAATTTCTGTATTGCTATTTCCAAGAATCACAGTCCTTTTTTTCTTTTTTTCCAGATAGCCAAAGAGGCTGATCAATTGGCAGAACCTCAGCATTTTGAATGCACCATAAGCCAGCCTCGTTCTCCCCTCAGGGCCCTGAAAGGAGCTCTGGTGAGTTCGCGTGATCATGACATAGAGCTTTAGCGATGGAAAGGCCCCTGGGTACCATTTAAGGCAGCCATGTCCCAGCTATTGCTGGGCTTACCTTCCCGACCACTGGGATACCTCCTGTCGTAGGGCCCTTGCCATTTCCTAAGTGATTAGACAACACTTTGTTCTTTCGTAAATTAAAGTTTCTCAATAAATTGTATCTGCTAATTTTGGCTCTAGCCTTTGGGATGACCAACAAAACAAATTTCTTTCCGCTGCTATCTTTCAGTTCTTCAGCCCTCCTCGACCCCTCAGTTACTCTTCTCTAGGTTAACCCACAATCCCCTCCACCTGATTCTACAATTGTTCTCAGGATGACAGGATTTTCCAGAATCCCAGAAAATGTAGAAATCAGATACAGTGTTCTAGATTTCTTTTTTCTTTTTAGAATAAATAAATAGGACAAACTGGTGAATTTATAGGTCAGAGCCACAGATTTGACTTCTAGTTTTTTGATAGAACTATATGATCTCTATGTCCCCTCAAATGAAAACTTCCTAGCCAAATATCGTTTTTTTAATATATATATTAACTTTTAAGGAACTTAAATAGAGAAATCGAATCTTGAATTCAGTGTTGGTATCCTCTCGGCTCCATAGCCCATTCGTTTTCAGCACTCAGAGGTGGTATGGATAATTCTCAGTTATATCCAGGATCAGGGAAAACCTGAATAAATCATATATGAAGCTATAATTTAAATTTTCTCTAGTGACTTCACCTTCCATACTCAGAGGACAAAGAAAGAAAGTGGGTAGAAATCTTGAATTTCCTTTCTCTGTCTAATCCTGTGAATTGCTTGATAAAAATAACAGCAAGCAGTAAAATTTCCCAAACATGATAGTTAGCAAAGGAGGTCAAACAAAGTCTGAATGCTAAATGGAATGGGTCGGACTTTTCCTTCATCTCCTTCCTCGCCTCCTGTCCTTAAACTATGAATGTAGTTTGTGTTTACTAAGCAGCCTAAGACACAAATCAGGAAATGACAGAGGGTAAGAAATAGGGAATCAAAGGAAAAAAAAAAAAAAGAAAGAAAGAAAGAAAAAATATTTAAGAAACAAGAAGTGGAAAATTACTTGTTGATAATAACATGTATTTTTAAGCCAATATACAGTGTATTCTGGGTGGTAACTCACATTTTGTATGCTGTGATGATGATGTTCAGTGAATGAATGTAAAAATAAATTAAGGTAAGGCGGTTGGATCCCATATGGTTAACTGTGTGGTTTGAGTCCCAGACCTGGTGGTTTGTATGTGCGCCCAAAATCCTGAGAGAAGAATGGAGGAGAAGGGATTGTGGAGTGGCCACTCCCCCTGGGATGTGATTTCTTACTGTCTGTCTGTCTGTCTGTCCTTCTCTCTCTTTTGTGAATATGCCCTATAGCAAACTTAAAGAAAAATAAAAGAAAGAAAAGGAAAAAAAAAAAAAAAGACACCATCAGGACCAGCTCTGGTGGGGTGCTTAATGTGGCTGGATCCCACTTGTTTGACATGGCCGATAGTGCAGTTCAAGGCCCCAACCTGGGGGCTTGAGAAACATGTTGGACGTATATGCGTGCGCACCAAAACCTCAAATGTAGGGAGAACTGGGGGAGAAGTAATTGTGGCATGAGCATTCCCTATAGAGATGCTTTCATGCTTTCCCATCTGCTCTGTCTTTCTCAGGTGAGCACACATGCCCTCTGGAAAATTAAAAATAGAGAAAAAAGATGCATTTGTTTTTCACTCTCTAGTGCTGTCTATGTCTGAAAACAAACTGCCCTAGTCCTTCTAGAAATGAAGATGTCAAACTGTAATGAAATTAAGCTAAAAATCAACCTTGATTTATTTGTGATCCCCATATTTTTCAGGAAAGTTTGATTGAGGAGGAAACTGGGCAGAAGAAGATTTAAATCCATTGGGTCAGAAGGACTGACAACACTTAGCTATAATCCTGACACTGAGTCAACTGTGAGGATTTTGGAATTTCTTATACAAGTCGCACATATTTCATAATAAAGTGTTGTGTTGTGAATTACGTGGTATATGTGTTAAGTCTTTCTCTAACTCAGAACTTGTGTGTGTGTGTGTGAGGGACATTATAAGTCCGCCAATGGAAGGCCTCATGTGTCTACAAGTGGCAGATGAGAAGGGAGATGAGACAGTGCCTGTCACTGATATCTCATGACTCTCCAGCACCCCACCCTATATCCACATGGAAAAACATAGCCCCTTGGTTCAAATAAACAAAAAAAAAGCAAATTCACCTACAGTTTCTATGGTATTGTAACTTTGTCCTTGATTATTCTCTACAGAAATAAGGTAGAACCACAGCCAAGGCTTCATCCTACTTGGAAAGATGTTCCTCCCCTCGAAGGTCTCTTGATCCCTTTGAAAGTCAACTGGAGGGACTAGCAATTGGCATAATGGCTATGTCGCTGAACTCCCATGTAGTCGACTGTGGTTTGAGTCTCAGACCTGGTGGCTTAAACACACGCTGGGCGTGTGTGCCTGCATGCCCAAGGTCCCGAGAGGAGAATGGAGGTGAAGGGAATGCAGCATGGCCATTCCCCGAGGGGTGATTTCTCGCTTTCTGTCTGTCTCTCTCTTTCAGCGAGCATACATGCCCTATAGCAAAGGCCTCTCAAAAAAAAAAAAAAAAAGAGATAGAAAAGAAAAAAAAAAAGGAAGTCAACTGGAACACCAGAGAAAGGGGCTTCACATTGCTACTAGTCCAGTGCTCCATCTCACTCCACATGGTTTATGCAAGTTGGGCACACGTGCACACGTGCCTGGTATGAATTTAAGCTGCTGGATCTGGGACTTGAACCGTGGTTGACTACACGGAAGTCCAGCGATGTAGCCATTACGCCATCTGCTGGTCTCCAGTATTGGATTTTGTGCTAGCTACATGCACAAGCATTTTCACTAACCATCCTGACAATCTTGGAAAGTAGATGTTGCTATCTTCACCTTAAGATGGGGGAAGCGAGGACTCAGAGAGCTGAAGACACCCACTCAGGTCCGTGTTCAGTGCACTTGCACTGCACTCAGAGCAGCCAATCAAAGTGAAGGAAAAAGGACTGGGCAGGACTAGGTTCACTGGTAGAGGGCGCTTTCTCTCTCTGGCTCTTTCTCACAAGCTCGTGTGCCCTCTAGCATAAAACAACAACAAATTGAGTTAGGAACTTCTTCACTCCCTCTTTACTAAAACTAGGCAGCAATGTGGCCCACCATGTGCTTTATTATAGAACAAAAGTAAAACTGTATTATTTCATTAATCAATATGTACGTGACAGTAGGAGAGATCTCTGCTTACCAATCACTGAGCCTTTTTTTTTTAATAAGAATGATATCATTTGCAATCTTTACATAGTTAACATATTGAAAAAGGCAACTCACCCTTGTAACTATACATCCTGCTTGGTACATCAGGCTTTCTTTGTCAAAACTTGTCCTTGACTCAATTTCTTTGGCATCAACTGTCGGTCCTGAATGGGATAAAATGATGCTTATCCAGCTGCTCAATGCTGAGGTGGACAGTCAGTGCATCCTGTGGTGGCAACTAATGTGAGCATTTTAGGTACAGATGATCTCAAATAGTTCAAATGACCAAGAGGAACAGGGGAAAATGTCCCCTTCTTTAAAATGTTAACACATTTTTTTCTGAATTGGAAGAGCTAACTTGTCAGTGTATAACAGCTTCAAAAAAAAAAAAAAAAAAAAAAGTCTGGGGTTGGCTCCTTGGCCTAATGGTTAAGGGAGCCAGATCCCACATGGCTGACTGGGTGGTTCAAATCCCAGTCCCAGAGGCTTGAATAACACAAAGGTTATGTGTGTGTGCATACCCAAAACCTCAACAGAATGAAGGAGTGGAGAAGGGATTGCAGTGTTACCATCCCCCAATGGAAGTTGCTTTCTCCCTCTCTCTGGTTCCCTCTGGTGAGTGCATGCACCTTTTGGCAAATCAGAAAAAGAAAAAATATGGGCCCACTTTAAAAACAAATAAAGGATGGGGAAACGTATCAGATGATACATCTAATGGTAGCAAAAGTAGCAAAATGAGTGCCTTGAAAATGATTTTAACCAAAGATTTAGAAGTTGTAGAATCCTAAAGATGGCTGGGAAAATGTGAAGACTTACTGTGTAACAACACTTAGAGATCTTGACAGTGGAAGATGCCCTGAAGTAGTTTCTCCCAACAGGGCCCCAATCCCAAAATACTCCCCAGGTTTACTGATTCCCTCTTTGGGGCCCGAGTCATGTGCATTTTTAACAAACACCCTCATTATTACATACACAGACAGTGGAGCACTAAGTGCTTTAAAATATCACAGGTTGCTGATACTTGGACTTGAACCACGGTCGGCCATGTGAGAGTCCAGCGCCTTTAACCACCATGCTATCTCCTGGCCCTGACTGCAGATATTTTAAAGTACTGGAATACTTTCTTTAAAAAATAAACAAACAAACATAAGCCCAGCACTAAAGAGCAAAGCTATTTGAAGTGTGGGTACCCACTTTCTCTTGCTAACATGACCTACCACTAGAGGGATTTTAAGAAACACCTTAATTATTAACTTTCTAAAGTTATATTTCCCCTTAGGTAGTGGTTTCCCAATCTTGGCCTAGCAGTGGAACAACCTGAAGGAGATTTAAAATAAATACAAATGCCTGGGTCCCATTTTCCATCCTCAGAAAATATTTTAAGTTTTTTTATGTCACCAAATTCAGTGTTTTAAACAATCCATTTTTTTTAAGATTTCATTTTATTTATTTATTCATTTATTTTAATTTGACCAGAGAGAGAGAGACAGACAGACAGATACCAGGTCCAGGACTCAAATCATGGTCGGCCATGTGGGATTGTCCAGTGCCTTAACCACCATGCCACCTGCTGATGTCCCATCCTCAGAAATTTTGATATAATTGGTCTGGGGTATGAACTCTCCCCAGCCCATACTAATGTTCAACCCAATTTGAGAAGCGGTTGCTATTCGTTCACTCTGAGTTCAAAGATACCCTTTTAACTTCACTTCTCTCTTTGCCTCGATCGAGTTACCTACAGCGAATGAGTACAGAAATAGCACCAGTGTACACTGAATGAATTGATGTCAGCTCAGATTACCAAGGAGATGGATGGAAAGGGTGAAAGGAACCAGATGGCTTACAGTTTTACTGCTTCCGGGGAAGGTGACTGCAGGACTCTGCAGTACAAGGTTAAACTAGCAGGACCTGTTAGGCACGAAACAAGTCAGAGGGACTCTGGGTGTGATGTTTCCTGAAGAGGCATCGATTACAAAGGTCATCGATGATGTCACTGCGTTAATATAAAGGCAATAACAAACTAAAGACACAATCAACTTCAAAATACATTTCAATGTTTAATTTACAAAATAAATAACAGCAAATCTGAACAGAATTCTACGTCAATGCACATCTTCCTAACTTGTCCGTGTTTGAAACCCAACTAGGTACACAATAATGGCAAAACCATTTTTAACAAAGTATGGAGGAAGAACTCAAAAAATTGAACTGAGAGATACATTTTGGCAGCATCTATTGAAGACCAGTTTTAGTCGGATCCACAAGAAATGAGCCTGAAATCATTAACCTGAAAATCAAATCTTTTTCCTTTTGTAAATTAGAATGGATGGTTCAACTCGCAACCACCAAAAGGAAAGTGACCTTTTCCAATGGTAACTTTATAAAATAGAATATAGCTGAATGAGTGTCCAAAGAAGTGATATTTTCCAGCTTCCTACCTGATGCAGGGAAGGAGAGCATGATTTATAAAAAGTCCAAGTCTGCTGAAGTCTGAAGACTCTTAGAAAAACGGCATTGTTTACAGGCTGTTGGAGAGAACTAGGATAATTCAACTAAATATTATAATGCTGCAAAATGATTCATCTTCCTAATTTTGATGTCTTCAGGTCTGTATCAGATCTGTACAGCAGGGTCACATCACTAAATTGGGATGAAATATGGCAAGAGCCCAGGACACAGAGCTAACAGCTTTTGGACAGAGACTCAGTTTCCTTCTGACTCTCCGTATGTTTCTGTTCAATTAGAGAGAAAGACAGAACTGAAAGGATTCTAAAGATAATGTAGATTCAACTTTTTCATTTTTAACAAACAAGGAAATTGTAACCTAGAGACTTGACTAGGTGTTGACTTGCTAAAAGGTACACAACCTTTAGCTCTTTGTTCTGATGGTGGGGTTGTTCCTTCTCTTTTCATTATATCTGAGAAGTGTAAGGAAGGCGGAAATTTGAAGGGCCTCCTAAATACCTTTCACAAAATAGAGCTGAGGATTACATGGGAACCTCTTGGGTGGTGCCGAAAATAGTCTGTGTGTACCTGAGGTGGGTCTAGAGCTATGCGAAAATCCACCCCTCTGCACGCCTAAGATTTGTGCCCTTAACTATATGTAAACTGTCTCAATTTTAAAATAGGAAATCATCCAATAATCTGGGGACATCTGGAGGGGAAGGACTCTTCCAGATTGCAAAGTTATCATCTCGAATCCTGCATCACATCCTGTTCATCTTACACATTTGCAGTGTGCCTGCAGTTTCAATGGCAAGAGAAATGACTGCAGTTCTAGAGGTGGAGGAGGGACCAGCAATGCGTGCCCCGCAGCTTTGTTCAGGGTTTCCTTTTTACCTCCTGTCTCTCACTTTTCCCCAGCATATCCGTGTATCGGGAGGTTTCCAGTGACCACACTGCACTGCCACATGCGGGGGCACTGCTACCTTGCCTGGAATTCACTTAGAAGTTCACGTATATTGAATGAAACAATTCTTTCCAAAAAAGAAAACTCAAAATTAAGACAAGTTACCAGGAAAGAGAGAGAGAGAGAGAGAGAGAGAGAGAGAGAGGACCACACTGCACTGCCACATGCTGGGGCACTGCTACCTTGCCTGGAATTCACTTAGAAGTTCACGTATATTGAATGAAACAATTCTTTCCAAAAAAGAAAACTCAAAATTAAGACAAGTTACCAGGAAAGAGAGAGAGAGAGAGAGAGAGAGAGAGAGAGAGAGAGAGTAAATGACGACGATAACAGGAACTCACAAACCATAACCATAGGCTGTATAGTTTGGGGGTTAATTTCAATGCCTTTCAACACTCCAGAGTTTTTATTAGGGAAAACAGAGACAAGCTTTCTTTTTTTCCCCCCTCATCTCTTGCACGTTTAATGTAATCATAAGGCATTCCTTTGCAGTCTTCCTCCTTGACTTCAGGACAGACATTATTGACGACATTTTGTCAAATGTGACTCATTCCTAAAGTGTCCCAAGGCGATGAACCGTCCTATGTCCTCTGTATTCTATTATCCACGTTAGTACCTGGAATCCTTTCTTCAGGCAGGAGAGAGTTCTTGTTTTCAGAACTATGGAAATAGAACCATATGGAAAAAACAGGTTCTATTAAAAAACAGGAAGTATATGGGCACTGATGTTGTCTCTCTCTCCACTTCCACTCAAAGACCAGACTGCAAGGCTCATTGCTACTGCTCTGGAAGGACAGGCTTAAGGGGTGTGTATGTGACCCAGCTGACACAGATTCTAGTCTGCCTAAAAAGTAAGGAGATATATACAAATTCCCTCTAGCCAGTATGCAAGGTGACAAACTCTCAGGAGTTCCAGGTTCCACAAAAGCCCTCCATAGTCTGTTGCTGCCTCCTCCTTTCTCTATAGGGTGGAGTTTCTTTCCACTCAAAATCCTCTTCAGTTATTAATAACATTTTGTCTCTAGTCATAAAAAACCATGAAAAAGGCTCCCAAAGATGTGCTCTTTTGGAGAAGGGTTGTAGGTGCCTGTATACACGTTCCAATTTTTTTTTTTTTTGTGGGGGGGGAGTATCAATAATGCTCTCTGGGAGTTTCAGATCTTCCTCAGGCCCGGCCGAGAGAAGAGAACATACCTCCTGAGCACATCCTGAGCACACCTGTCACATACTCCATCTTGTGTGACCCTTACCACTGCATGGGAGGTATTATCCTTGCATTGAAACATGAGAAATGAAAGTTCAGAAAAGTTCAAATAACTTGTGGAAGTTTGTGATGTTAATGGATGACAGAGCTGGGATCGAAACCAAATGGGTCTGAAGCCAAGGCTCCTTTTTCCTTGGGACTTCACTGCAGGTTCTACTGGGTAGGGGTAAGGAGCCATCTTTGCCACACCTCTTCTAGAATATGCAGACTAATTTCTTAAATAATGCACTGGACGCGTCTCAGAGGTCTCTGCTGCTTCGACTCCCACGTAAGACCAATATGTCCCTCTACAAAGGGTGGTGAAGAAACAAGGCACACAGAGGCAGGCGGGCAACTGCAGACTCTGACAGCTGGAATCTCTCTTGCTGTCTTTTTCTTGGAGGAAGCGACTTGGGCTGAGGTGGTGGGTGAAGCCTCAGGTTAAGTTTCCCCTACACTGACCTTCGGATTCACAGTCCAAAAGTCTTAAGCTTTGCCATAAATACTTAAGTAGTACAGAAATATCTGGAACCATTCAAAAATTGTCCCAACTACAGGTAGATATTAAAGAGTTTGCAGGAGTCATCTTCTTGGACTAACTGTTATCAGGGGATGGCCTAAATTAGCAAGCTGAGTTAGTAGTGAGAATCTGTAGTACAGTCTTCCGGGTGTAACCCCAATTTCCTTATCTATAAAATGAGGGGCTGTTTGCATAACCTTCAAGGCCTTTATAGCTCAAAATACCGGTTAAGTGTTGTGGCTATTTACATATGTGTATGTCATATTTGGTCATCTAAAGCATCCCAATTTTCTCTTCTCAGAGGAGTACTGACATTAGTACCATTCGCAAGCAGGCAAATTAACTCCACAATCGAAAGGAATAAATAATCGGAGAGAAATATTGCACTGTATTCTCCAAGGGTAAAGTCAGGTAGCAGATAGGGGCTGCTGTATCATTCCAAAGGGATCTGGAAAAGAAGCTGTCGAATCCGGCCTCCGAAGTCCCTTATGCCAGTGATTTGAGCTCAGAGGAGGTAACAGAGCAAAAACTTGTATGTGCAAAAGGAAGCGCTTCAAACAAATCCAAAGTAAGAAGGAATGGCTGCCGTGCACCGGGGGCCAGCAGCTAGGATGGTGGTGGAATCCTGGGGGGTGGGGGGGCAGCCTTTTTGCCACGAGTGGGTGGGGGTGGGGGATACAGAAGCTCAGGACTTATGTTTGAGTCTGTGTTTTCTCAATAATGACACCATTCATTCATATCTGAAAGCAACCAATCTCCATTAAAAAGGTGTTCTTATCCTCAAAGGAGACACAGTGCACAGTTGAAAGATAGGATTATTTTGGCTACCCGTGTGTACTTGATATCGGTCTCTTCCAAGACGACAATGGGATAGACGGGTCCATGTGAGGAAAGCCAGTCAGTCTCAAGCACGGCTTTTCAGAAGCAGAGCAAGAAATCCCTCCAAGGAGTGTGTTACTGGGGTTGCAGCACCGCCACTGCAGAATCTGTCCAGGCTTTTGAAGATCCCAGCGTCTCCACAGCAGAGGCTGTGGCTTCAAGATGGTGAAGGAGATCTTGCCTCTGACAAATGCACGGGCCAGGCCCAGTTCTGGAATTCCATGCTGACTGGAGGGGATATGGCATGGCCACAAGCATCCATCAAAGAGAAGGAAAAAAACAGCTTTGCGTGGTGAACCTTAACCCAGCTCAGGGAACCCAGTCAGCAGGGGGTCCTGTGTAACGAGGACATGGTCTCCTGGAGGCCAGTTCTCAGGCAACAGCTGTCCAAGGCACTGGGAGTTTCGGAGATGAGGCAGGATCCTTACTGGGATCCGGGTTCAGCA